ATTCATCCCCACCCCGATGCCCATGAGGTTCCTGAACCCAAGGAAACTAGAGAGCGGCAGTGGAGTTCGTGGCTCAATTTTGAAGGGCGTAGCTGAGAGTGCACGGCGACGACATGGCGATACTTTTTCTGGAGTGCCTTTCTCAACTCATCCGCGGTGGCCTTGGTGACGTCGGCTGGGGTCTCGGATGTCGTGCCGTTGCTTTTCTGATTCTGCAGAGGGACGGGTCGGCGGGTGGGCTGAGGGGCAGCCGAGCTGTCACTGTCCAGGCTGGTGACGGTCGCCGAGTTCATGCCGGGCGATATCAATCCCATCAATTGAATGACGGCCTGGAACGAATTGATCAAAGGCAAACGATTTTTGTCGGACCTCGAAAGAGGCACAGAGAGAGAGAGCGAAAAAGGGGCAAAACAATAAGGGGCCCAAGGACAACGACTTTTTCTAAAAAATAAGGATGTTAGGCCAAGGGAGATCCAGGAACCTATATGGGCGGTTGAAGCCGAATCAGTGGCGGAAGGGGGGGGGGGGGGCGATAAGATAGGAATGAGCAGGAAGCAGGAAGTAGCAGGTGTGGCCGGCAATAATGCGACGACAGTAGTGGGATGAATGGTGGGATTGAGACAACCCAAAGGCGAGAGAGCAAGCGAGAATTAAAAAGACGACGGCAGATCAAACACGAGCCGCCGAGGCACCAACCGACTCTGTTCAGTCTTCGGGCCACCAACTGCCAGGTAAGGTAAGGCGAGGCAAGGCAGAGAGAGCATGGCATGGATGGTAGGTCAATATGTACCTCAGACGAGACCATACGCGGCGCGGCGCAGGCCTTAGGGAGTGGCGGACGGGGCGGAGTTCCAATCAACCCCTCCTAGGGACCGTTGATGCACTTGATGCAGGAAAACACACTCTTTCGAGGACGCTTGGTTCCGAACCGACTTGGCGGGCTGTTATCAATCAAAACGACGTTGGCCATGAGCTCGAGCGTGTCCTGTCGTGGAATGACGAGACTACGTGGGGGGAAAGGGAGCAGCAATTGGAAGGGGAATGCAGGCAATTCCGTGGCTTGCAGGAGACCACTAGAAGAATGGACAATCGATGGCCAGGCCATGTTGTCAGTCATTGGAAGGAAAGGGGAAAAAAAGAGAAAAGATGCAATCCTGTCTTGCGCTCTGCATTCTGCACCCTGAGGTGCTGCATGCATGCAGTCGACCTTGTTGGGAAGTCTTGCGTGTGTGTGTGTGTGTGCTGGACCATGTATGCCCAGGTACTAAGCGTGCGTCAGTGTAGCTCCATCGTTCCAGCACCTTAGCGTCCTCAACTGCAGCAGCCCTCCAGCGGCCTTCAGTGGGACGGCGACGACCCACCGGCTGCTTCTGGCGGCTGCGGGTGGCCCTACAGCCGGAGGCCCTACAGCCGGATAGCGCCCCAGCGCATGTCCAGGCCCTCCACTCGGCCTCCCTGTGGGTGAGGTAGGTGGGTAGCGAGCTGCCTAGCCTGTGGGCTATGGCTGAACTTTGCTGTCACATGTGAAATCGCCTCGTTCTCTGACTGTAGGTGGAGCGAGTGCCTTGCCTTAGTCTTTGAGGCCGAAGTTTTTCCTCGATAAGAATAGAGAGCTTTATCTCCATGTGACCTGCACCATGGCCCGTGCCACGACGCGCTTCACTTCCTCTTGTCATTGGCGACGTGCCTGGGCCTTGAAGCCCAAAGAAGGGCTCATCTTCAAGAGCTTGGGATATTGTCCATCACCACATCTCATTACAGGCCGCCAGCTATCGACTCGCATCATCTTCAAAGTATCGCTTTCTATATCCGCCTCGAGACATACTCTTTCTTCATGAGATAGCGTCATGGCGTATGAACCCCGTGGGGATTACTCCCGTCGAGGAGGTCCCGACGGTGATGATCTCCATCAGCCGAGAGCCGTGAGAGGCCGCCGTAGGTATCCCTCATGATGAAGAATCTCAAAATCCCAGCTTACAAGGTCCAGGCCCCGTTACTGACTATGGCGCGACCGTCTCTCAGTGGATGCGCGACCGCAATCCCGGCACGGGCTTCTTCTCAAATGAGGAGGCTGAGAAGCCCTCTGCCAGCTACATCTCCGACGTAAGAAACCGTCCACCCGTTTCGCGATCCTGTCTCACACTTTCCAGTTCCATCCACCAGCAACCACGACGGGTGACCTGCATGATGCCCTGCCCGTGAAGCACCTTCATTCCTCTCTTAACAAGATCAAGCACCCCGTCAACGTCGTTCGATGGACACCCGAGGGCCGTCGCCTGTTGACCGCCTCGAGCAGTGGCGAGTTCACCCTCTGGAACGGCACAGGCTTCAACTTTGAGACCATCATGCAGGCGCACGATTCTGCCATCCGCACTCTCGCCTACTCGCACAACAACGACTGGCTCCTTTCGGCTGACCACGACGGCATCGTCAAGTACTGGCAACCAAACTTTAACAATTTGCAGAGCATCACGGCCCACAACGATCCTATTCGAGACCTCGCATTTGCGCCAAACGACTCGAAATTCGTCACCGCGTGCGACGACTCGTCACTCAAGATTTTCGACTTTGCCGGAGGTGTGGAGGAATCAGTGCTCAAGGGCCACGGCTGGGACGCCAAGAGCTGCGACTGGCACCCCTACAAGGGTCTCCTGGTGTCTGGTTCCAAGGACCACTTGGTCAAGCTGTGGGACCCCAGGACAGGCCGCTGCCTGACGACATTGCACGGTCACAAGAACACCATCACCAAGACTCTCTTCGAGAAGGTCCAGGGCGACTGCCTCGCCACATCTGCTCGGGATCAGACCGCCCGCGTCTTCGACCTGCGCATGATGCGCGATGTGTGTCTGCTCAAGGGACATGAGAAGGACATCTCGACCCTGACCTGGCACCCCCAGCACGCCAACCTCCTCACAACAGGCGGCCACGACGGCTCGCTCCACCACTACATCACCGATCAACCCAACACACCGCCCGGCCAGAATGCCGGCATCGCCCCCTACGACACGACAGACCCGTCCGGCACGACTGCCCAGACGATATACCCGTCGCACAAGGTCCCCTTCGCCCATGATTTCGCCATTTGGTCACTCGACTGGCATCCCCTTGGCCACATTCTCGCATCCGGCTCCAACGACAGGATTACCCGCTTCTGGTCCCGCTCCAGGCCAGGTGACACAGACGTCCTCCAGGACAGGTATCACATCGGCGAGGCCGCCGCCGAAGCACAGGGAACCTGGGACCGCCGCGGCATGCGTCGCCAGCGCCAGGAGGAAGAGGAGCAGGAGATGGAGGACGAAGCCGAGGGTCTTGTCGACCAGAAGATGCCTCTCAAGCAGGCCGCCGTCCCAGGCTTCCCAGGTCTCCCCGGTCTCCCCGGTCTCCCCGGCCTGCCCGGCCTTCCCGGCCTTCCAGGTCTCGCAGGCCTACCCGGCCTCCCGCAGCCCAACGCACGCACCCTGTGCCACCGCCCCCCATGATCCCCGGCGTCAGCGGCGCGGCCCCGCCCCCTCTCCCCTTCCCCCTCCCCGGCCTCAACGGTGCACCGCCGCTCCCGCTCCCGGGCGCATCGATCCCAGCAACCCAGCCGACCTCGCCAAAATTGCCGAGATGATCCAGAAGGCAGGCGGCACCCTCCCCCCTCCTCCACCAGGCGGTTTCCCGCCACCACTGCCCGGCAGCATGATTCCTCCGCCGGGCTTCATGCCGCCGCCGGGCATGCCGCACGGCTTTCCCCCCGCCGCCGCCGCCGGTGCCCGGTCTCGGCGGGCCACCGCCTCTCCCCAACTTTGGGGCTCCCGGCGGCAGCAGCCTCGAGGACGAAGCTGCTTCTCGCGCGGAGCGGGGCCCCGCTGCCCAGTCAGG